ATTCGTCCCTCTATTTTTTTTTCTACCAGTAATCAAACAGTACAGCAATATGTGGCATATGAAAGCTTCGTGCGAAAACAGCACACGGCTAAATCATAAAATGCTAAATTTCTGAGGCAAAATGTGCTGATGCGTCAGGCGACCTTACGCGGAGAGCGGCCGGGTCGTCGAGCGACCGTACAACTTTTGCTTTGAGGAAGAACGGCCTAAGTTGAATAACACTTTTTTCCCCGTGCAGTGCTACATGCGATGTTTCGCCTTACCCTGTTATTTCTCCACTTACGTTGGATGAATTGCAATGAATGTGACGAGTAATCATTATAAAGTTTATAAATGCAAAAACGTTAGTTTTATTAATATTTTACTTTAGTAAATAAGCAGCTTGATGTTTATAAATATTGAGCTCTAACAATAACACTGAAGATGTTTTGTACGAGTTTAATTCGACACCAGAAGGAAATCACTGGTAGTCAAATGATTATTGCTTTAAACATCCAGGGTTTGTGGATCGCCTCAATGGCGGAATGGTTACCGCGGTCTCTAGGGCACTCCCTGCGAGAGGTTCTAAGCAGTTGGCGAGAAATATTAAACAGGATATTATTTATCCGTTACAGAGATACGTATACTAAGCTACAATAAAAGTACTCCATATAAATATAATTATTAATTATAAAGGTTATATATGTATATATATTATATATGCGGCAAATAATATTTTATGAAAATTGCGACGAAAAAAGGCTTCTGCCAAGAGTAATTTGCATTTGGAAAGGTAAAGAAAATGTGAACATGTAATAATATGAAGGGTGCGAATGTCTCATACGTTGTGGTTTTTACAGATCTTCAAATTTGCAGGCAAGCATGCTAATCAAAATTGTATTATCTGATTTTACTTTATTGGGAAAATTAAGTTTTTTTTTTTTTTTTTAATATGATACGAAATAATGTTTTTTGGTACAATTTCGATTAGGAAATGATGTGTAAATTATTTGACAATATTAACTAACATATATTATTCAAGAAGGATTCACGAGGAGTTACCGCCGTCGACATGGCTTATTCCTGGAGTTATTTGCAGCAAAAATTGTCGTATAAGTGTGGGCCCTATTCCCAATATTTACAGACCAATACGAAAAATTGGAAACGCAATACAGTGAACAGTTCCACTGAATTATTGCGTGTGGGGATGGGTAAAAGATATTGTGTACCAAAGGACTGCACAAACGCGTGAGATGCTACTCGCGTGTACCATGCATGTCGCTACAGAGACAGTCGTGTGCAGCTACGTAGAGCGACACGTGTACCATGGTGCCGCTACAGAGACTGTCGTGTGCAGCTTCGTAGAGCGACAAGTGTACTATGCATGCCGCTACAGAGACAGTCGTGTGCAGCTAAGTAGAGCGACAAGTGTACTATGCATGCCGCTACAGAGACAGTCGTGTGCAGCTACGTAGAGCGATACGTGTACCATGGTGCCGCTACAGAGACTGTCGTGTGCAGCTTCGTAGAGCGATACGTGTATCATGCATGCCGCTACAGAGACAGTCGTCTGCAGCTACGTAGAGCGACACGTGTACCATGGTGCCGCTACAGAGACTGTCGTGTGCAGCTTCGTAGAGCGACAAGTGTACTATGCATGCCGCTACAGAGACAGTCGTGTGCAGCTACGTAGAGCGATACGTGTACCATGGTGCCGCTACAGAGACTGTCGTGTGCAGCTTCGTAGAGCGACAAGTGTACTATGCATGCCGCTACAGAGACAGTCGTGTGCAGCTACGTAGAGCGATACGTGTACCATGGTGCCGCTACAGAGACTGTCGTGTGCAGCTTCGTAGAGCGATACGTGTATCATGCATGCCGATACAGAGGCAGTCGTGTGCAGCTACGTAGAGCGATACGTGTATCATGCATGCCGATACAGAGACAGTCGTGTGCAGCTACGTAGAGCGATACGTGTATCATGCATGCCGCTACAGAGACAGTCGTGTGCAGCTTCGTAGAGCGACACGTGTATCATGCATGCCGATACAGAGACAGTCGTGTGCAGCTACGTAGAGCGATACGTGTATCATGCATGCCGATACAGAGGCAGTCGTGTGCAGCTACGTAGAGCGACACGTGTATCATGCATGCCGCTACAGAGACAGTCGTGTGCAGCTAAGTAGAGCGATACGTGTACCATGCATGCCGCTACAGAGACAGTCGTGTGCAGCTTCGTAGAGCGATACGTGTATCATGCATGCCGATACAGAGACAGTCATGTACAGCTACGTAGAGCGACACGTGTATCATGCATGCCGCTACAGAGACAGTCGTGTGCAGCTTCGTAAAGTGACACGCGCGGTTAATAGGCGTGTGCCGGCAAGTGTACGGAAGTAGACGGAACGTGTTTTGTAATTTTGTTAGACTCAATTTTGATGCTCGACTGTAAACAATAGAATCTGTAATTACATAAAAGTAGTTACTTCGACAAGGGTTATTCTTTTTTCTTCACCTTTCCAATTTTTGATCTGTATGTATTGGGAATAGGACTGACACTCAAATTACACTTTTTGCTCCAAATGACATGAGGAATAAACCCTGTGAGTGGCATAACTCCTCGTGAATTTTCCTGTATGTTAAAATGTTTGTAATATTTAAATTCTTCTGCATTCTCGACGTTTGAATTTATTGTAAAATGTTTAGGGAATATTTTTACAAAGCGAAGAAAATTAGTTGTTTGGCCTTAATTTTGGGGGATATACAACTTACTAGGCGGATTTAGGATTCAGTATTTAAAGGTGGACATAACTTCGGAACATTTGTTTCTTTAACATGTACACTTTGAATGTTTTTACTTGATTTTATTGTGTAAATAATACGTAATGTTAGCAAGGCTTTAGTCATTCAAACACATGCGCAAATGGGATACATTCTTAAAGTGCCGTAATTTGCAGTCTATAATTAAAATACTAAAACAATTATATAGGAAAGATTTAGACAGTTAGAGGAAATTAGTGCCGATATTGTATTTTTGTTAACATAATCTTCATTCATCCTTAGGTATCATGACACACAAAGACATATTGTTTACGTTTCTATTGGCTGTTGGCTACGTTTCCCTTAACAAAAATTATCCCTTATACTAGTGACTACGAGATTTTGCCGTTTTCAGGAAGAAAAATTTCCCTTGTTGGTGAATTCAAAAATCAATTCGGGTGGATTTGTTTTTATTCATGAGCACTTTCATTATGTTCATATCATTTTGTAATCCATAAATGGTTTTCCTCATAAAAATATAACTAATTATTCAAATTGCTGCGTGTTTGTATTTATTCCTTTATTTCGTAACGCGATTGGGATATAGTATGTATACAGCAGTGAGAAATCGACTCATTGGGGATGGTTGGGCCATCTTTATTTACATGTTTCGATAAACGCACATAGTAAATATGATTTTAACGTGATTGACGGCATCGTTGAAGGATCGGATTTCGGAACCACGTAATTGCTTGCGAAGAGGAGTAGTAGAACATAGTGTCTTACACGACACAGCTCGTGGCGCTTGCCGCCATCTTGTCACGCAACATTGCAAAACACGCCCACAAAGACGCGACCACTGTGATAATATGTTACTCAATACGGAGCAGTTGTGTTGTGGTGGTGAAAATGCATGCTGAATTCTTTTACGGAGTCAAATTTCAGGATGAAGGGAGGAAACGAGGAATTAACGTGCTGATTCGTGAACTTACAGGATGTAGGCCTAATAATGGCAAAAGAGCAAGTCACATATCACATTTGTTTCTGTTTTCCGATGGTTCAATGGAAAGATACTTTGAAGATAATGTAGAGATTAATACTCCCCAGTTAGATATGGCAATGGTATCTGTGCGTTGTATACATCGCCCCATGTAGTCGGAGCCAAATTATGTAACTTAAACATTGCTACGTGTGTACGTGTACATTAATTAGGCCCCCGCATACAGTGTCACATGTAACAACTTCATTACGTAACATAACCGTTTAAGGATGGAGATATTTAAAGCCGCGTAGAGACACAGACTGCAACAGATGTAGGAACTTATGAGTAGAACACGCGTGGCGGTTTCAGATAAAGAAGCGGGGTAAAAGGCAGGCGTAGTGCCATTTGATTATCCTGGGAAGGGGTTTCAGCTCACTAAGTGTGGTGTAGAGTGCGAGAGTGTATCGGGGAAGCAAGGCTCTAAGCTCCCCACCCTCCGTATGGCTATTTATTTGGTATGTCCTATACCTGACGCCCTTCACCCGACCCATCTGCTGTGCTGTGATTGATCACCCCACTCCACCAAACCACCCCCCCCCCCCCCCACAAAAAAAATACCAACCCATACACACACCCTACTCCTTCACAACGAGCTACACTGTTATAATTTCTGGAATGAATTGGATACCTGCTGCGAGATTATAGGCTCTCCTGTGGTTATCTAAACCTGATGGTTGATGCCACTGAGACTCCGCGGCACCTCGGGTAATCTAGCAACTGAGTCACCGCGGCACATTTTGGTTGTCCTTCCACTTAGTAACCGTGGCACCTTTTGGTTGTCTAGAAACTTAATCACTGTGGCACCTTGAGTAGTCTAGCAACTATGACTCCGCGGCACCTCGGGTAATCTAGCAACTGAGTCACCACGGCACCTTTAAGTTTTCCAGCCACTGAGACACCTCAGCACATTTTGACATACGGCAGTCTGGAAATGTTGTTTTTAGCTATGTTGGAGGGCTTGGATATAGTGGTTCTAACTTCTAAAAGCGACATTCCGTCATCGCCTGAATTTTGTATTCTTTTTGTAAATTAGCTCATTGTGCACACGTGGAATAGTTTTCGTCAAAAAAGCGGATCTCCCAACACACTGCAACACATTTCTAGCGCCTAGTAGGCAGCCACCTCAATAGCCACCCAAACATTTCCACTCAACTCTCATCGGGCTCACTAGCGTGTGGATACCATCAATATCTTATTTTTAGTGTAATGAACCCAAGTAGCATCGGTGGTTCAGTGGTAGAATGCTCGCCTGACACGCGGCGGGCGGCCCGGGTTCGATTACCGGCCGATGCATGGAACTTTTAACTTATATCGGGCCCTATCTCCAAATACAAATAACGTATTTATTTCAACGCAAACAATGTTCTGTTTTAGCAAGCTGCTCCTACGGCAGCAGAAGGTTATTCAAATACATCTCAATACGATATCAAAATTGTCAATTGAAGGACTCGTAGTTTGTAAGCCAGAAGCAATAAATATTTTAAGTGAATATGTCTCTAATGGTTAAATAATACAGGAAACAAAATAATAATAATAAATAATACCACATCCTTGGTTTTATATCACAAATAATACTTGTGCGACACATATTTATTTGGGAATGTACTCGGCCATACAAATATGGATATTTAAAATATTTACTCACTTACACTCTTTGTCATAAACATTTGCGCCCTAAGAAGAAACCGTAGTATCTGCAGTGTACATAAATGAATAACAAAAGTCTGGCGCTGAAAAATGCAAAGTTAAGGGGTGCGTGGAACCTCCCTTCCCATCTCGAAGGTTCTCTTCTCTTTCCACCCAGTATCCCCCCCCCCCCCCCAAAAAAATTCCAATCCCCACTTTCCGACGGAGGGGGAAGTCAATGAAAAGATTCGGGAGGCTCTTAACATCGAGGTCTTGAGAACCGATGACGGTGATTGAAGTGAGTGGAGCAGCACCGCAATGAGGAGGCGTGGAAACGGGAGATACCCGAGAAAACCCGCCGACCAGCGGCACCAGTACGACTCCGACATGCGAAAATCCGGGAGTGACCCGGCCGGGGATTGAACCCTGTTCGCCTTGGTGGGAGGCGAGAAGGCTAACCGAACAAGTTATAAAGAAGAACACAAGATCAGGAATGAATGCAAGAAGAACTGAAGGAAATATGAAGAAAAATAGAAGAACAAGAAGGAGGAAGAGAAGAAAAAAAGAGAAAGAAGAAGAGTAAAGAAAATGGGGAGGAGAACAAAGAAGGAAAGTAGAAGAACAACAGAAAAGAGAAAAAGAGGAGGAGAAGCAGCATGAAAGAGAAGAAGAAAGACAAGATCTGAAACGGACGAAAGAAGAACAAAAGGAACTGCGGAGAAGAAACTATAAATGAGGGAAAGATGTGATTTGTGATAATATGTTGGTTGATGTCTGTGTATGTGTCTGTGTAAAAAAAAGGGGGGGGCCGTAGGAGCGGAGCTCCATTCCCTCGTCTGCCGGGAAACTAAGGCTTAGGGACGATGCTTAGGTTGGAGCAGAACGGTGGGCGAGGGGAAAGAAAAGAACAAAATAGTTTAGTATAGATAAGGAGGGGGCTGGGACCTTCGGGTTCGTGGGCGGGGCCATTCGACCGTTGGGTGCCATGGCGGACCGGCCAAAAGGCTAGTTAACTATGCGGACCCGACGGCGTATGGTCGCGCGGGCGGATTCGTGTGAATCCCGGTCCCTGGTCTGTTCCGGTGGGGGCGACCGAAAGGATACCCGTCGGGGAGCTGTCTCGGTCCAGGCAGAATAGCTCGCCACCTTCCTAGGAAGCGTGAATGATGCTTTTGAATAGAAATAGAATTTGTAGCTTAAATTACGGGCGTCCAGACAAACAGCCGCCCTCCCAAAAAAATTTGGATTTATATTACTTATATACTGTTTGTTAATTATTGTAGTAGTTAGTATAGAATTGAACGCCCTGGGTGGCTGTACTGCTAAGTAGGGTTAATTAATTAAATTACAAAAAAAAAAAGGCTAACCGCTCAGCCACCGTGCCCCCTTCCCGTTCCCGCCCTTGGAGAAGATCTTTTGACGCAGGAAGCATGTTTTTCCGCTTTCAGTTTTCTTTCGCGCGTCGTTTCCGCTCCATTAATGTTAGGGACTTTCAATTTGGCGTCGGCATATCTCTTAAACGGGAGTTCCGCCCAGCTTAAATTATTTTGAAAATATTGGGTATTTTAAGGGGGATCAACTTTTCGATCCCCAATATCTCCGAAACGGTCTAACCTACAACGTTATAAATACGTAGGACCTTTGAGCCCGCCATTTGCCATAGCCTCATAGTATACCGTCGCGTCGACCTGACCTTGGCTGTAGGATTTTAAGCGAGGTTCGAATTCCAAATTGCTAGTCTTCTAAATGGTTTGAGATACGACGGCGGGACTCGGTAGCCACGCTTAGGGCCCCAAAAGCTTCTAAATCGTTTGAGATACGGCGGCGGGGCTCGGTAGCCACGCTTAGGGCCCCAAAAGCTTCTAAATGGTTTGAGATACGGCGGCGGGACTCGGTAGCCACGCTTAGGGCCCCAAAAGCTTCTAAATGGTTTGAGATACGGCGGCGGGACTCGGTAGCCACGCTTAGGGCCCCAAAAGCTTTAGGCCATTAAAGCTGTTACCAACTAACCATTTTTAGTACTTTTCAAATTCGGATTTTTTGTAAATTTGCTTCCTGTTCACCAGAACTTCTTTTGTGAATTCTTCCCCAACCATTGTTGAGTTCTGTGTAAGAATTTCCCAGTTGACGCTAATTTTTCTTACTTTTCCCACTTTTTCCCCTTTTCCAAGGTAGTTCCTTCCATTTACGTGCCGCTTGGGCACCGAAAATTGTGCCTCGAAAAATCGCTATTTTCGATACTTAGTGCCGCCGTATCCAGCAACGTTTGTGGAACACCGAATTTTTTCAATACCCTCTCCCCTTTAGAAATTCCTAAGCCCCCTCACCCCAAAATCTCCCACACGAAACCCGAGGAGGTAATAGAATTAATATGTGTAGATATTAAGCCGCTTCCTACATTGATCCATGCGTTTCGGAATAGGAGCTTGGAAATTTTTACAGAAGCATCTTTTAAGAGGTAGTTTATCACAGACTAGAGTTTCTCAACATGTTTAGATTTTAAGGGAGGGGGTCAATTTTCTATTTGCACTAATTCCGAAACGATTTGACCAATGACATTCCAATTTAGCATGCTCCTTATTCTTATTAATTTCCCGTTGCCTTGTTACCAAACTCCATCTGGCCACGCAGGGTAAATAGGGAGATCGAGTGTATATGTCCTCTAAAGTAGTCTACGATTAATGAAACGTGACGTCAGTATGATTTTGATTTACTATTAAAGGTTGTTAAATGATTACAGGTCTAGTATAAACTCAACGTGCGTAGTACAAAATATACCATACCATACAAAAGGCATTAAAATAATTTTAAAAACGTGATAGTATATATTAACTTTTTCTTTGAAACTCTTCACCCTCGCACTCTCCATTTTCCATTTTTTCCCTTAGATTTTCAGGGTTTTTTTTTTTTTTTTTTTTTTTTTGCGGGATTCTCTCTACCCATTCTCGAGAGGTAATAATTTCCCGGTTTACGCTCATCTTCCCTACTTTTCCCCTAATTCATTTGCAAGGAATAACATGCGGAACCTCCGGTTTCAGGCTCTGCGGGTCGCACAGACCGTGGGGTCTACCTCTGCATGTTACGTCGACATGTTTACGAGCACCGTTACCCGACTCACCGACGCAGGATAATAACACGGAGCTCCACGGGCCCGACCCTACGTCCATACGGGATGCATCTAAATTCGAACGACAAACTTCGGCTGCAGGTTAGTTACGAAAAAAGAAGATGTAAACATGTACGACATATGATCAAAAATTAATTCCAAAGGAGGTGCACATTTTTTTTATGTAACTGAAGAAATAGTTTATGACAGTACCACTGTAACGCACCTCTCTCTCTCTCTCTATCTATCTCTCTCTCTCTCTCTCTCTCTCTCTCTCTCTCTCTCTCTCTCTCTCTCTCTCCTTTCAATCGCCGCAAAAGTTTGTTACTGCGTATTGTGTGTGCCCTATACCTGCCAGGTATTAGTAAATGTAATTGTGAAAGTAAAACACGAATTACTCAAAAACGGAAAAGCTTCCACTCTAAATTCGAATCAGTGGGAAACCACTGATTGTTTCAGAGGAAAATTTTCACTGATTGAAATCGTGAAGTGGAAAACAATTTCACTGATTGAATATGTGACGGCCGACTACAGTGGCGAATTAAATATTGCTTTTGTTGAATGTAGGCAAATAATTACGAGAAATGAACATATTTGAGATAGTTTACTATTTATTTTGTGCAATTTACCGTAATTTAACGAAGTTAAAAAAGAACTTGCAGGTGGCCGAGGTTGAACTCACGCTTCCTTCGAATGTAGGCCGTTGCCTAGCCATCTCAGCTAACACGCTAGGAAAATAGATGTTTTATTAGTATCGCGACGAAATCGTGTGGTTTGATGCCGTATGCTAATACTTTTCGTGTTTGGTTTGATTGGTACCGTTAGGATCGCTAAAACGAATAGTATACATGAGTGCACTCTCTTCGCCACATTAAATGCTGTTTAAATCTTCAAACAGAGCGCTGTGACGATTACATGAAAACGAAATGAAAGACGGAAACAACGGAATAAAAGGCTGTATGTTCATATTACCTTGTTAAATGCCGTTTTGAAAGACGAACACATTTTAGAAAGTGTTATGTATTGGTTATATTCGTCTATTCATTGTTACCACACATGATACACGTTGTTCAACTGCCATTTTTACGCGCATTTTCACTGATACATCAGTCAAAAATAATTACAGACGGAGCAAGTTGCTCAGATGTTTCACTGGTCCATCAGTCAAATAAATAAACCTCTGAGAAAACAGTGGAAAATGTCACTGAATCAATCAGTGAAGGAAATATGGAATTTTTTTTCACTGGTTCGTCAGTTAAATTCACTGAAGTGACTGTCGTTCCAGTCAGATACGTTTGACTGATTGAAACAGCGGAACTCTCACTGATTCAGATTTAAGAGTGTATTGTTTACACAAAGCGACATATTTGTTGATTGTGACATGGGAATTAACAATCTATCGTTTGAATTCAAAATACGCTATCGCGTCATGGAGGTTAGTTCGAAGTAGGAGTAGTAACAGCGATTATTGGCATGAAATAATGTGATGACAGAGACAGGTGTTGTGGTGTGTGAATATATTTGTTTAGTTCCGTTACCCAGAAAAACGGCGTACCGTCTT